AATTATTTATCATCTCTCCGGCCGATTCTTCCAAAAACTCCCCACCTGCGATTTCCCCCATTGATCTTCATTCCTGATCAAACCTTCTCCCTCTGGTCAATCCTCATCGGCCACGGAGAAACAATAATAGAAACGAAAAACTCCATCACATGTTGAAGAAACAGAGAGAAAGAAATTCCATATTTCTTTTCACATTGCTTTGTAATTCATCGTTTTTTAGCCTCTGCAATAAAAATTAGTAGAATTTGCAGGGGAACCTTAAGCTTGTTATGTTGTTTCAGAGCGCGGAAATGTATGTATAGGAACGAACTCCATAATTCAACTAAAGCTGCACTTCTTTCTGCGCCTCTTTGGTTGTCGAGTTCTACTATTATTTCAATCATCATCATCATCTAAATCCATATCTTATTTACTATTCCTTTTCGCCTTTCATTTGTTCTTAGAATTGGTGGATGTTCAACCAATCTTTTCGCTTAAACAACAGTCCAAATTTGGTCAAAGTAGGTCAATTTTTTCAGGAAGATGAACTTAACTTGGACGTTGGAGGTTCAGAATATAATTAGACAAAAACAGAGGACAGAAAGCAACGTGATCGGCGGACATTCAGATTGTGAAAAATCCGAGAAATTAATTAATAAATCATTTTAAAACTTGGAAAATTATATATATGTATATATATCAATGGCTGAATCTAGGACCGAGGGCAGGCCACTGATTCCCAGTAACATGGAGCTGAATCTGAATTCCCCATCTCAAATACACCTAATTTTGAAATATATATATATACTTCAAACATATGGGGTTCTTTTTGTGATCCTCAACGTTTGGAAGAACTGTAATAATTGCAAAAACTTTCTACCGTTTATAATTTACAATATTTTATTTGTGGGTAACCATCCGCCCTTAAAAAAATGAAAGGATGTCACAAGCAATATCGAAAAAGTCGAAGCTATTATATACTGAATCTAGAAGAACGGATTGCATCCTCAACCTTTAGAAAAAATTAGAATATTTTATTTATAGGTATCTCATTGTTCACCTCTAAAATTTAACTATAAAGTTATAGATAACGTAACCATGTCATAAGAGACATTGTTTAGAAATTGGATTTTTTTTTTTTTTTTGAAATATTTAAAATTAATGGGTTCCATACCATACCAACAACATGACACTTGAAGTAGTTTTATTAATTGAATCGAATATTGTAAATAAAGTTGTACCCCCACGCCCTCCTCCTCTGCATTTAATATACACCATGTGCATTTTCCCTCGTTTTCCTATTCGTTTCTTTTCTTTTTATTTATTTATTATTTTTTACGTTAAATTATGAATAATAATAATATTTTTAAACTTAAACAAAACTAATGATTTTGATCCTTTCAAAATGTTCTAAAAAATATCATTTTTCGTTAATTATGATTGGATGAATGATAAAGATAAAAAAACAGTCTTACCCTTAAATAAAGATTTAACACCACAAATTTCAGGTAATTAAAAGTTTTGAATTAACCTATTAAGAAGCTAGAATGTAGGGTGATGTATTGAATGTACATAATAATAATAATAATAATGCAGTTATTTATGATATTATGGAGAAATATGAGTTTGAAGATGGGTTAAATAATGATGAACATACGTGTTGAAACTTCGGTAATAATTGAATTCATTTCTACACTAAGAGTTGTGTAACATGCATGGCTGTGATTTAATTTAGAAATTCATTAAATTTTTTGGTACTCATTTCGTGGATATTGACAAGCTAGATTTCGATTATTGGCTATGTTTGCAAGTATGGCAGGGCAATGAAAGGAAAAAACATAAATGTGATGGCCCATGCTTGTTGCCTTGGAGGAACTCACATGGGTTGCTTTACGCTACGTACTTTTGTGTTCTTCCATGTCTCATGCCTTTCTCTCGACTTACTCTCATCTTCGTGATTGTTTTTTTTAAGGTTGAAGATCTTTTTTTTCAGATACGTCTTAAAATCTTTCTATTGAAGACGATATTTAACGTAATATAGTAACATAGTTGAAATATTCGTGGGTATGAAAATTTGGTACCAAATTCGCATTCTTCCTCTGAAATGAATTAACGAATTATGAAATTAATTCCGTAGATAAAGATAAAGTTTTGGCTACTGAATTATTTAAACTCTTATTGTACTATATATTTAAAAACAAAATATATTTTTTTATTCTTAAGCAACATTTATTCGATTTAATTTAGCTGGCAAAATAGGGGCAAGAGCCTAGCAATGCCAACTCACAGTTGGGGCATATCTGGATAATTATTCAAGCATATCAATTTTATGTTCTTCCTTCTTATTAATTATGCTCAATTATTGTTTTATTTCAATTAATTAGTTTTTTTCCTTTAATTAACCCTAATTTAGATATGAATGAGCAGTCACCGTCATAAAAAAAAAAAAAAAAATGGAAAATTTGTATTATGTCCGAGTATAGAGGGCCAGGTCCATTCTGTATTTGGGCCTCTCTATCATCGGACTTCGGAATCACTTGGGCCTCTCTATCATGACATATTATTGAAGGAAATGGACGACACAAACTTTTTTTTTAAAAATTAATCCAATCTTTTTCATCTAGTTATATGGTTATTTCGTGGAAAAATATAATCTTGTCCATTTATCATTTAATAATATATATTTTTTTATTTTATAAAATTAAGGTTATTATCCAACCGCGTCTTTTTATCGTTTGATAGCATGTCCTTTTAAAATGAAATTCATCCTTTGTTTTTTCCTTTCCATTCACTCGAATCTCTTCCGTTTCATCGATTTTGTCCGGATCCTCCTTTTCTTCCGAAAAAACAAAAACACATAGAATACAACCCACGACATTTTGATCGGGTAGCATAAGATAACCCTAATTATTAATTAATAAAAATTTGGTCACGGCACTAAAATATGTATATTAAATTAAATATTAGAATATAGTCTACACCACACATAAGTGTACACTGTACTTACTACCCATTGCATAAAAAATTAATTGCCGAAATAAAATTAGGTAAGAGTAAGTATTTAATCAATGGTTGGATTGTATTGGGCCATAAATTTAGTGTCCTTTCAGAACTGCATAAGGCTGAATGGATATGAATATTAATTTTAAACGTTTATTACGTATAAGTATTTAAATAAAATTTTAATTGTGCATTATATAAAAATAAAAATGGGATACAGTTAGTTGCAATAAATTCCAGCTGCCAAAACCAGAGTCCACTTTATCCAAACAGGGAACATGTTACATGCTGATGTTCCAATTATTTTAATTTAAAGACATTTTCCAACCAAGCTTTTCAATAATATTGCTCCAATACTCACGTGACATGCACGTGCATAACATGATCCATAAATCCCTCTCTACCCCTTTCCGCACAGGTGAAACTTCCAAAAATGCCCCCCCATCCCCATTCCTCACATGGCCCAGAACCATAATTTAGGCAATATATATATATATATATATATAAATATAAAAATAAAAATAAAACCAACAACTTTGGTTCAATAATTTAAAAGATAGGTGAGTGAAAAAATTGAAGTGATGGGGGCGTCAAGCCAATTATTGAAGCTCCACTGTCTTCATCACTGCCACTATATTTTTATAATATTTGTTGATGAAGGACAAGAACAAGTCTGTCAGCTCAACAGTCCCGTCACCCGCAGGTGGGCGGTGCCAAAACCCTCTGCTTTTTGCTTCCTTCCTGCTCTGCTATATTCAACTCCAACAATCATTTTATTGAATTATGTATTATAAATTTGGGGGCAGCCCAGGTGAGAGGCATTACATATTTGGGTGCCTTTAAATTCCCGGATTTTGCTCTAAATACCAATACCGTAAAGCTTCCACCTTTTTTCCTACTTTAAATACCACTTGCGCCTTCCACCTGCCGCTCTCCCAAATCCTTCACTGAGAGAGCCATGGAGAGACTTGAAGGGTGTCCCTGAAATTTACCAAGATTCTTGTTGTGATCATGGGGAAGCTGCACAAGAAAATTTCAAAGGCCTTGGACTGTTTTAGTCTTAGTCTTGGTCCCTCCTCTTGTAGCTCAGGCTCTTGTTTTTGCATAAACTCCATGGAAGAGCAGGAAGATGAGTTTGATAAACTGCCCCTCATAGCCACTCACAAAGACCAGCTGCCCACGTTGAAGGACGTTGTCAATGGAAACCAGACCTTGGCCTTTCAACTCAAGCCCAAGGTAACTAATTTACCTTTATTTATTGCTGTTATTATCCTACAGTTTGAAACAGGATTTGTGTTTTGGGTTTGCAGATGGTGACTCTAAGGGTATCCATGCACTGCAGAGGCTGTGCAAGAAAGGTGGAGAAACACATTTCAAAAATGGAAGGTAAAACACGGCTCTTCCCAATAGTATAATATTGTTCCGTTCGAGCATAAAATAAAATCATTTTGTTGTTGTTTGTTGAATGAGCAGGAGTGAGCTCGTACACCATAGACTTGGAGACTAAGATGGTGATCATTATTGGGGACATTCTGCCATTTGAAGTGGTGGAGAGTGTCTCTAAAGTCAAAAACGCACAGCTCTGGCAATCCTCGCTAGCTTGATCATTATTCCATATGAACAACACCATTATTATTAATTAAATGTGTACATCGTGGGAAGACAGAGGGATCGGAATTTGGCAGAGAATATTTTTTATTCTCACTAATTTTGTGTTTTTTTCTTCTAATTTCCGTATTCTATATGTTTATTCACCGGAAGTGGTGTGATTTATAGGAATTTAATGAAATTAAATTTGATGAACAGAATATATACTGCGATTAAAATAAAATAAATAAGGAAGACAAAATATAAATAGAATTAATATAGAAAATGTAAATGGAGATATCAATGTTTTAGATGAAAAATAAATAAATCATTTAATACGTAACCGATGAATGCCTTTTACTTTAATGTTTGGTTTTTTTTTTAGATAACATCTTAATTTCATTGACTTTGAATATTAAATACCAAATTGAGATTACAAAATGAATGGTCAGGTTTTATTTTAGAGAAATAACTATAAAAGAAAAATATCTCTTCGCAACGACGTCGTTTAAGTGGTGAAAGTCATCGCGGTCAGAATTCAAGAGAGAACAGTTGTTCCTTAGCCACCACGACCTTGGATAACTCGAAAGACAAATTAGAAAGGAAAGGAAATTAGAGATTGGTGTAACCTGAAACAACTAAAATTTGATTCAGAAATTTCGCCATGAAATCCATCTTCCTTCTCTTTCTCTTCTCAGCCCTTGTTTCTGTTTCGACCCAATCCACCGATTCAAAAGGCCCAACAATTCCGCCGTCCTCTGCCCACGCTCGCCTTTGCCAATTACGGATTTCCGTTCGGCCTTCTGCCGTCTACTGTCTCGAGCTACACCATTAATGAGACCTCCGGAGACTTCTCTTTAGACCTGGGTGATTCGTGCAAGTTCACGCTTCCACCGGACAACTACGTGGCTTCCTTTTCTAGGGTTGTCACCGGTAAGATTGCAAAGGGTCGAATCCACAATCTCAACGGGATTCGAGTCCGCGCGTTGTTCCAGTGGTGGTCGATTACTGGAATTAAGTCCACCGGCGAGGATTTGGTGTTCGAGGTGGGGATGCTCACCGCTAAGTATCCGTCCAAGAGTTCCAACGACAGCCCTGTGTGTGAGCCCTGTCTGTCGGCTTCGTAACAGCTTCGGGTTTCTTCAATTCACTGTATTTCTGCTTCTTTTAAGGTTAATTCACTGACTTTTCAGGCATATAACATTGTTGTAATCTCCACTATATCTTATCTTTTACCAAGAATCTTTTAGCTGGAGTTTGTGTTGTGTTCATTTAATGCTGTAATCTCAAGCTATCTTCATTACTGTTCATAAAGAAACGACTGAATTCCTCTCATTTTGTCTGGTTTTTTATTCTATGCATAAAAGTAGATTCCTCAACTTTGTATCTTTTGGTATTAAATTTTTAAATTTCTTGACTTCTTAAACTGAAGAATATATAATATTTAACTGCTATTTCGTTTTTGTGCAGGCCTTTCATTCACTTCAAGCATAGATATGATATGAACTTACCGGATAATGCATATCATGTTATCATCAATGTTTCGAGGTATTTGTTCTTTAAAATGCAATATTAACCTTCTATCTATGCTGCCTGTGCATCCGCCTGCTATTTCTATATATTACTTCTGCTTATTGCAATTCGTAGCTTTGGATTAATACTCTATTTCAATAATATTAGTTTGTTTAGTGCTTGATCATGAGCTGATTTGTATTTTACTCCCTCAAACTTTGCGCACCCATTCAAGTCAAACTTCACACTTTTTGTAATAGTGGAAACCTACCGCTAGTAAATATTATCCGCTTTGACTCGTTACGTATCACCGTCAAACTGATGGTTTTTAAAACACTTCTCTTAGGAGAGTTTTCCACATCTTCATAAATAATGCTTTATTTCCCTCTCTCTCCAACCAATATAATATCTCACAATCCACTCCCTTGGAGCTCGAGCATTCTCGATAGCAGGCTCTAATACCATTACTAGTAGATATTGTCCAATTTAATTCGTTACGCATTGTTGTTAGTCTTACGGTTCTGAAACACTTCGTTCAAAAAAGGAAGTAGAATCTTACACTTTTGGATGTGAAAAGTTCGTTTATTTTTCATAAGAATTTAAGGGTTTGTTAATGTATGGTGGAAGGATAATAATGCAAAAGTAGAATCATGTCAATTCTAATTTGCATAAATTGTGCATAATCCAACGATTAATGTAATAATATTATTCGTATAATCTTGTACTTGTAAATTTTAAGAGAACGACGTAAACTATATTTTCAATACGAAAGATGAAGAAGACATATATAGACATTCGTGTTAAGCGCAATCGTGAACATTCCCAAATCTTCCACTCCATTCATCCTCATGGTCATACTTGCATAGTGCGAAATCCAACAACCTTTAGACATATTGGTGGGAAATATGGTGAGTGAACCGACATGATGAAACTAAAACTTGACAGAAAAGACGTAACGTACGTCTAGTACCCCTCACCTCCAATGCACTACGCAATTTGAAAACTATGGACATGCGGACAGGTGGAGACGATACATATTGTTGTTGTTGTAGCAGAAGTGGAGAGCCTCACTTACTAGATTCCCCTAAAAGCATATCTTCATTTCCCAATAACCCACCAAGACCAGACCCAACAAAGTTGTCGTAGGCAATTCATTTTACACGCCCCCCACAGCCAACACCAATTGAAGTGGAGTGGCACTGCCCTGGCCTTGTTGTCTGTGCCCCCTAATCCTATTGCGCCTCTCTTTACTCATTACCCAATCCCTCCCTCCCTCTAATCCATAATTACATGTCCCTCTCTTCAAATATCACACCCAAACACATCTCACTATTTCAGATTGCCTTGTTGTCTATTTTCACCACTTTTGTCTATCTATATACCAATCAATCAATCATCCCCTCTACCTTTTTCCTTCATTTCAACTAAAACCCACCCACCATTCTTACCTCCCTACCACTACTCTACATTTTTTTTTTTTTTTTTTCCTTCCTTCGAGAATCCTTGACCCAACAATTATTTCATCAATTTATCATAACGAAAAATTTAAAAAGATTCAACCCGACTTCATTAATAAATGAATAAGAAATATAGAGATAAAATTGGGGGCATAAGTTTTGAAAGGCAATCACCAAAGTTAGGTTAAAGACAAGACATTAAATGGGTTCATTTAATTTGGTCCATCACAATTAGAAAACGCCGCAAAAACACGCTTCTCATTAACCCGGCGTTTAAAGTGGGGGAGTTTTTCATTCTTCAATTTCCGCCCACCGATTTTTCTAAGTTCGCATTTAAATTGCCCCGTAAGGTCCGGAATTGAAGGACGATGATTACAGGGAATGCACCAAAATTGTTCAATTTTTACGTTATTAAAAGCACCCAACAAAAAATGCTTTCTTATGGATTATCTTATCTTTATTAAATCATATTAAAACTTTGGGTCTGTATCAATCTTTGATCCTTAGAAAATGGCAAATAATTTTTAACGTTTTTAATTTTGTGTGTAAACTTAATTTAGTCCAATAATTCATTGAAGATTCTGTATTGCAAAACCGAGTCTTTCTTTAAAATTAAGGCGACGTGATTGGGGAATTTTCTAATTCAATTTCTTGTAATTAATGATTAGAGTGATGAGGTGTCCAGAGATTTAAAAGTCGTCCGATCGGACGGTCATTATTTGATCTGGCCTGCAGCGGCGAGGGCGATGCTGCTGGTGATGAGACTGGTTTTTTTGTCCTTCGCTTTGGGTTCCAAAACAAACATGATAAAAGCGAAAATATAATAATAATAAAACAATTTGGAATTGAAAATAACGTTTTACTGATGGAAAGTGGAAACTCACGCGCCGAAAAAGTGCGAGTGGGTTTCACTACCCAATTGTAAATCAACGCAGTGGCTAAGTACTTTATCTGCTCGCTCGTCACAAAACTTCGTTCCTACTAGAAGGAGCATTTTTCACGCGCTTCTCTTGTTCGTGTTTTCCACGCTCGGTCTCCAGGTTCCATAACGTGAACATCTCGTACAAGCCTTTTCTCCCCTCTCCCTTTCGAAGCCAACTAACACCTTCGAAGACTCTTTCTCTCTCTCTCTCTCTCTCTCTTCTTCTTCTTCTTTCTCTCTCTAGCTTCATGCTTGCGCAGAACAAATTATTCGGTTTCGGCGCATCGAAGCCCTAGATTCGTCCCCATTCTTCGCCGGTACGTCCCAAATATTTCTCTTTTATTTATATCGTTTCTTTCAAACGATTTCCTTGGTTCTTTGGGGCTGTTTCTGTGGCAGATCCATTGATTTTCGAGCTTCCTTCTTGGTGTTGTTCTTTTTTTCTTTTTCTTTCTGTTTCTCTATCCGTATTGTGTTAGTATTCCGCAGCGCTACTATATATGTTTTTCTGTTTAATTCGCTGTAATCAGTATCTTTGTTGCTGGCCTTTTATTGGTTTCTCAAGATTTGCACAATGTGTTAGTGAAAATTTCTGAAGCGTTATTTTCAACTTTTACTTCACTGCTGGTGGCTTCCCGTATTTTTGTTTTTGGGTTATTGTTGTCATATCGTATAAAGTGGTGGGGGAGAATGTTTGATGAAGGTAATGCCAATTGTCATGGTAATTCAACAGTGGTTTTCGAGAGAATGGTGAAAAAGAGATTATTTTTTCTCTTCTGTTTATTTTTTCCTCTGGGAACTGGACTGAAATTGTTTCTTCTGTATTGCTGAATCAATGATTTACATATTTGTCAATCAATTTCGGGAAAATCATAAGCTACATTTGGGAGGGAAAGTGTTGAGAGAAGGATGGAGCCATTGAGAGTTTCCTCCTGCATGCGCATAGATTGAAAGTTTATCTGCTTTTATTTTCTTATTTTTCCCTTGGACTTTATGAAGATTAGCTTGCATTTTATTGTTATGATGAAGATCTTGTGACTTGGTTTCATGCTCTTAAGGAGTAAACATACATGGACAAAAAAAATAGGCAATTTGTTATATCTCTACTTTCTTGCTCTGAAAATTATAGCATATTCTGACGTATATTATGAGATTAGTACTATATTAATTGGTTTCCATTTATTCTCCAATTCCTTTTCACTGAATGGCACTAAGGAATCACTTGCCTTGCGAATTTGGTAAGAAGATTATGAGTTATTTTGTTTTTCTGCGTTGTTTGTCTTTTGTTAGTGCTATTATATGAGTCAATATTCTCTTTCCAACCATGACTGAAAGAAATTAAGCTTACATTGACATGATCATGTATATGACTTTATAGTTATTATAGGCAATCATATTTGAAGTATATGAATTCATGTTATTTTATTGCCATGTGTAACTTGTTTATATTGTTCTATCCAGTTCTGGCGTTCAAAGCCCTGGTGCGTAGAGATGCAGAGAAAATGAGCTGTTAGGTGATGGTTGAACAGGTCTAGAACTGTTCTGTAGGTTTCCAAAATGATGACGAATGATAAATTTGTTCAACATTCTGATCATGTCTTAACGAGGAGAAGCTGAACTTAATCATTCTAGTAGTTAAATTTCAGAACTTTCAAAGGTTAGAATGGTTAAGAAATTGGGGATGAAGAAAGCTTCATCCAGTTTAAATAATCGGTCTGCTAGTAGGAAGCAGTACAGGAAGATAGATAAACCGGCTCGAGTTTCAACAGCTCCTGAGAAATCTCTACAGTCTGGAATCTCAAGTACATGGGTATGCAAAAATTCTGCTTGTAGGGCTGTTTTGTCAGTAGATGATACATTTTGCAAGAGATGCTCTTGCTGTATCTGTCACTTATTTGATGACAACAAGGACCCTAGTCTCTGGCTGGTGTGCTCTGCTGAATCTGGACAGAGAGATTCCTGTGGATTATCTTGCCATATTGAGTGTGCCTTGCAGCGTGAGAAGGTGGGGGTTGTTGATCTTGGTCAATTAATGCAGCTAGATGGTAGTTATTGCTGTGCTTCTTGTGGCAAAGTTTCTGGGATACTAGAGTAAGTAATTTTTTTGTTCAATATTTCCTTTAATTCTCATATTTTGCATAATTGTGGGCTCTCAAGCCGCGTAGAGGTGCTGTTGCATGGTTTATATTTACTCCAGCAACCTTATTTTAGCTATGGCCTGATTGGATTGTGAAATTCTTTACTGGCAGATGTTGGAAGAAGCAACTAGCCATAGCAAGAGATGCACGCCGTGTCGATGTTCTCTGTTACAGGATTTATTTAGGTTATAGGCTCCTTGAAAGGACTTCAAGGTTTAAGGAACTGCACGAAATTATTCAAGATGCAAAGGCCAAGCTAGAAACAGAAGTGGGTCCAGTAAATGGGATTTCCGCCAAGATGGCTCGAGGCATTGTCTGCAGGCTATCTGTTGGCGGTGATGTGCAGAAGCTTTGCTCATTTGCAATTGAAAAAGCAGATCAATGGCTCGCTGGAGTGTCTAATACAAATCTGAACTGCAGAGGTTTAATCCATGACCATTATGTTTCTTGCTCCAACTATTGTCTATAAATCTCATTAGCTTTTCTGTAGTTTATATCTTTTCCCATAATTTCATTTTTGACAGATGATTCATTTCCGGCTGCTTGCAAGCTTCTATTTGAGGAGATAAAATCTTCTTCCATTGTGATAACTTTAGTTGAAATCTCGAATACATCGTCTAATGAGACTAAGGGCTACAAGCTTTGGTATAGTAAAAGTAGAGAAGAACCATACACAGAAGAACCTATTTGTGTATTTCCTAGAGCTCAGAGAAGGATTTTGATATCCAATCTACAACCTTGCACCGAATACATGTTCAGAATTGTTTCATATTCAGAGAATGGTGACATTGGTCACTCTGAGGCCAAGTGTTTTACCAAGAGCGTGGAAATAATTCACAACTCTCATTCTCCCGCCCCTTCAAATCACAGGAAAGAAAGTCCTGTTGCTGAAGAAAGCTGTATCCGCAAGAAGGGTCCAGATGATACAACCATTATCTGTTCGTCCTCAGGATTTCAAGTACGAGATCTTGGAAAGATTCTGGAACTTGCTAGGGCTCAAGGAGAAGGTCGTCTTGAGAGCCTTTGCTGTGCTGATGTAAAAAATTGTTGTAGAGTGCAGATCGGTGTCAAGCCAGAAACTCCGGAAGAAGAGCAGCTTCCTCCTGTTTCTCGTGGACTTGATTTAAATGTGGTTTCAGTACCTGATCTGAATGAAGAACTAACTCCTCCTTTTGAGTGTTTTAGGGATGAAGGTAACGGCTGCACTCTGCAGCAGGCTGTTGAGGCAGATGAAGATGCTGCCTCCCATGACATAGAGAAAAATGGCTTGGCAAGATCACACGGTAGTGATGATTCTCAGATCTGGACTTGTGGACCCAATGGCGAGGTGCCGGCTGTTGATTCCCTTACAGGGTTGTACAGGAAAAGGGCAGCTAGCACAAGCGAAGATCCGAATGACTGTGACAGCACTTTAATAAATGGATCGCCGCTCCCATTATCAAATGGTTCATGTTTCTTGGACGAGAACTTCGAGTATTGTGTGAAGATAATTCGATGGCTAGAATGTGAAGGTCACATTAAACAGGAATTTAGATTGAAACTTCTAACATGGTTTAGCTTGAGATCAACAGAGCAAGAACGTAGGGTAGTCAGCACCTTTATCCAAACACTCATTGATGAACCCAGTAGCTTGGCTGGACAGTTAGTTGACTCCTTTTCTGATATCATATCCAGCAAGAAGCCACGAAATGGGTTCTGTAGTAAGCTTTGGCATTAGATTAGCATACTCATGATGCAGAAATCACCGTTAACTCGTACTTATCTTACCTTACCATTTCTCTGCTACTCTCTCCTCTAATTAGTCTGCCGTTATTTGTACAGGCATTTTTTTCTTGATCACTGTCATCAAGTGATTCATTTATATCTCGGACAATGTCATCCGGGTTATGTTAAAGGAATTGGATGCTGATTGCAGAGACAGATTACTCAATTTTTCATAGAATGTAACAATTGGTGGTGGCCGGTACCTGGTAGGGGGCATCAACTATTTCTCAAGTTGTACTTGGTATCGGTGTGGATAATTTGTATTAGCTATCATATTGGCATTGCCTTCTTCCAATACAAAGAAGGTAACTGAAATTAACCTTGAATTTTCATGATTTAATGTCATCTTGTTTACTCGTTTCATTATCATAGCTTATTCTTCTAAAGGTGTTTGGTATGAAATGGTTTGGTGCACTTCTAGAACCTCTTGAATATCAGGAAAACAGTAACAATAATAATAGTGTAATTTCGGGGAAATTTATGAAACTTTCTCTTGTTTAGTTAGTTTCCTAGGGAGGACATTGAAGGAAAGTTGAATAAACTTGCAAACAAATAGAGACGGAAAGGACAAGGGCTGTCAAGAAAATGAGTATATCTGAAAGGAAATTGTCTGGATTGAACGTTTCAGTATGGGGTAAGTAGACAAGGACATACCAACCATTTTGAAAGTGTCTAACAACCAATTGTACACAATTTTAGGTACCGACGTACATTGTTTGGAAGGAACTTATATTAAGTACTTACATTAATACATGCATACGACTGCCTACAATACTCAGATATGACTTGGAAGCACTGATTGAATACATTACACAAATACGACCACACATGGATATAGTGAGACGTCACTTTTTTTTTTTTTTAAGTGATGGACATGAAAACTATATGTTTAACATTTTTATGTTAATAAATTCATGCATTATTTATATATGCTTGAAAAATGAGTTTGCGAGATTTCGCATTCTTTATAAGATGATGGAAATTTCTCTCTAATAGAGGTGTTTTAAAATATCGTGAGACCGACCGTGATATATAACAGGCCAAATCCCGGACCAAAACAAACAATATCTACTATTGGTAGGTTTGAGCTATTATAAATGGTATCCCAAGGGGTTGGACTGTGATATCCCACATTGACTGGAAAGGGGAATAAACGCAGTGTGACAGCGAGAACGTGTACTAGCAAGGACGCTGGGCCCCAAGGGATAGATTGTGAGATCTCATATTGGTTGGAGAGGAAAACGAACATTGAACCCTACGCTGGCTCCTAACCACATTATTTTCAATTTAATTCTTATTGTTTAGGTCATTTAGCGCAATCAACGTAATTCAAACAACCTTTAACCTAAAAATCATTAGTATGTGAAATTAGAGTTGACAAACAAATTAAAAATATAACTAAAACTCATACTAAAGCACATCCTATTAGAAATGGATAAATGTAATTTTTCACAGCTTTACCTTTTTCTTTTTATTATATTTTATTTTCTTTAGATACGAAACTATACTATTTAATTTTACTATACTATTTACGACATACATTTAATTTTCGATAACTATACTATCCACATAATCCGTAATTAAGAATAAAGATAATATTGAAATTACCAAATAATGTGAAGCCTACACGTGGAATAACCGCAACAGTACCTCTAGAAAGACGGAGGCAGAAAACCATCCCAAATTCCCAAAGTATAAATAAATAAACTCAGAATTTGCATAACGGTGAAACGGCGTCGTTATAGGGAAATCGGGTGGATTAGGAACAAGATTACATGGCAACCGCGAGAGCAGGAAGTTGAGAGTTCATTCACAATTTGTCCAGCCACACTGAGACCACTTTTCGCTTCCATTTGCTCTCAAAATGCTTCTTCATTCTCCATCCTCGCCATGCCTCTCATTCAAGATCATCAACGCTCAATTCAGTTCGTTTTGTTGAATAATCTTCTAGTCTCTGAATCTTTTACTCTATTCCTCAGATAATGTTCTTCTCCTCTCGGCTTTTAAGTCTTTGGCTCAGAACCAAAGAATGGAAATGCCGATTTCCGTGGTACGTGGAAGGTCCATTCCGAGTTCAGTCACTAGAAATGCTGCTTCTACTGAAGGTAAGTTCGAGTTGATTGTTTTGTTTTGCTGTTGTGTTAAATCCACTTGTGAAAGTGTAAAATATCCATTGGTTAATGTAGAGAGGCTTTGTTGAGTTTTTCTTATCTTTTCCAGATTGTAAACTCCTACTGAATTTGGATATTTCGTTGTGGTATTGGAATCCTGAGACAATGAATTTGATTAGTTGGCAATTTTGTTTTGCTCGGTGAAATTGCATTATAGGTAAGAAGCAGAATCTTACTGGAGTTGTATGTTAGGCGTGACACGTGCGAATAGTAATAAAAAAAAAAAAAATTAGGGTCATTAATTTATATTCACGATTTTTGGTTTAGCATATTTTAAGTTGTTTATAATAACTTATTGCAACTTGTAACTTAAAGGTTCTAAATATAGATTTTCATTTAAAAAATCGTTCCTTATTGCTTCAGAATTAATGTCTAAATATGGCTATGTTGAATCAAGGGAAAAAAAGGTTTACCTATTTCGAAAGAAAAAATATATCATGGAAGATTGGGGATAGAACTGATAAAAGACTGTATACAAATAATTATATGGATTGATTCATTCAGTTGTCAATATTTAATGGCGAATTTATGCTGAGAGGAGAAAACCAGGCCATCACATAACATTTTAACTTGATTGAAGATGGGTCAAAAAAAGCTTAAAATCTAAATTTGTTGAGGAACAATTAATGTCGTGGTAGCGCGCTTTACATCTGAGATTTGGCTAAAAGTGCTTTCACACTATATGAAGTCCAGCATATCACCTGTGTGCACCAACCAATATTCGTGGTAATATCCTAGAAGGATTTCATATTTGTATGTTCGCAAAGCGAGGTAGTTGCCGCATCAGTCATCAAACAATCAAGTTAGTATGAGGGTAGGTTGTTTTAGCATCAAGGCATTTCTTTAAAAACGAATTTGTTTTCGTTATCATTTATACCACATTAACAATTCGCTGGAATATTTGTTTCACCAATCATATTATTACAGGATTACATCTTATCTGTTTTCTGTAAATTGTAGCTGGTGCTTCTGTTATGTTCACTGATACGGCTGAGGCTGATGTATTAAAAGCCTTATCACAAATTATCGACCCAGACTTTGGAATAGATATTGTCTCATGTGGTTTCGTGAAAGATCTTCACATCGATGAGACTTTAGGAGAGGTTTATTGAGAACATGGAATTGACAGTTTTTATGTGATGTCTCCTTGTTTTTAATTAAATTTGATGGCTTGTTGGATTACAGGTTTCTTTCCGGTTAGAGCTCACTACACCAGCTTGTCCAACAAGGACATGGTAAATGACCCAATCGCGTTGTTTGAACAAGAACTGACATATGTTTGGAAGGGTAGACTTTTTGTTGTTAACCACAAGTTTCTTACAAATGTAACTGAGTTTTTTTCTTCCACCATGGTTCTTTCCATGATTTTTTCCTGTAGATGTGCTGCAGCAATTTCATTTGTTTGATATTTAATTTTGCCCATTTCTATTATGCGTTGCTTGAATGTCATAATTAAAGGTAATAATACACATTGCATGACAGTTTGAACAGAGGGCTAATGAGGTAGTTGCAGCACTTCCTTGGGTTAAAAATGTGAACGTGACAATGTCAGCACAACCAGCAAAGCCTATATATGCTGGGGAACTTCCGCATGGGTTGCAGAGAATTTCAAACATTGTGGCAGTTTCTAGTTGTAAGGTAGGCTACCCATTTTCATCTCTTTTCAACTCAACTCGATCGACTATCTTTCGAAGTGTAGATCATTAATTTCCAAGATTGGCTTCTTTGCTGGAAAATGTTTGTTGCATAGTTTCTTAAATTTCATGTGGTATATAGACATTATGGAACACTGTCATCTATTGTCTTTTCATCCGAGGGGAAAGATGTTGCTACTGATTTGGTGTCATTTTCTGCATCAGGAAATTCATTATTTTCTCTTCTTCGTTCCTGTTAAAGAATAACTAACCATTTATGCAGGGAGGTGTAGGTAAATCTACTGTAGCAGTAAATCTGGCGTATACTTTGGCTGGTATGGGTGCTAGAGTTGGTATTTTTGATGCTGATGTTTATGGACCAAGTTTGCCCACTATGGTTTCCCCTGAAAACAGACTGCTAGAAATGGTAATCTTTGAACATTTCAATCAAAACTTTCTCAGTCAGTGACGGTAAATTATAAATATCTATTTCTACAGAATCCAGAGACGAGAACCATTCTTCCAACCGAAAAATACTTGGGAGTCAAGTTGGTATCTTTCGGATTTGCAGGACAAGTTCGTGCCATAATGCGAGGTCCAATGGTTTCTGGTGTTATTAGCCAGCTACTGACTACCACTGAATGGTTTGTTCTCTTGGTAAAAAAATTAAAAGTCTGGAATATATTAGTAAGAAAGCATATTTGTACTGCATGTCTCAAACTAGCACTTAACCCTTGTACTATAGTAAATTTAATTATTTGATATATCATCATCACATTTCTACTATTTTCCTCAAATAAATGCTACTAAGACTGATGAAGAAAGAAACAAGTCGAGAGCTGTTTCAAGGCAAAAAAAAAAAAAAGACGAAATATTCTGCATGTTTCCTCTCATGCTCGAACAAGTATATATTTAAAGTTCAAATTAAAGACCCATGATTTTCTAATGTACAAACGTATAAAATAGTAAGGCCCGCACTCCTTTTGGTTTAGTTTAATCGTTAGATGGTTTTGAAGAACCCAACGTATTATGTTTTAAACTAATCCCGCGGGTTACATTTCATATACCAGTTTACTCTGTTGGAGCTCCTTTGCATAACCAGAAAAAAACGAGGGTTTGATTGGACCATATATTTATTTTTTTAAATACCGATCTAATAAGCACATTTAAATACCGACCTATTTAGCATGTTATTGTCGGTTTATTCCTCGTCTACATTACCAAAGGACGAGAGAGACTATCTACTAGATTTTCTTTGCTTATGAGGCCTTAGGAGCTTACATATATTGTATTCTCCTGGTAGTTTTCATGATTATGATCTGAACACGAGTTTGAATTTTTTTATACACCTTATCTTAGAAGAACGAATGGCTACCTATTATCAGTGTAAGAACATGTAGCCATTTTAAAATCTAATCAGCTGTAAATAATGTAGGGGTGAGTTGGATTACCTCATTATCGACATGCCCCCTGGAACTGGTGATATTCAACTTACCCTTTGTCAGGTTTGTGGTATTTTTTTCCCCCTTCTACTCGATATAATATTTCAAGCCTGATT